ACTTTACACTAGGGGTGGAAACGAATCGAATCTGAACAAATAGTGTCTTATTCGAATTCGAATTCGGCTCAAATAGCACTATTCGTATTTGTGTTTGAATTCGACTCGAATAATATTCAAAATTCGAATTCGCTTCGTTTAGATGTGTATGTGTTCGGTAACTATTCGCGAACATTCAATTAACAATATTTCATGGTTTTGATATCAAGTTATTCATCAACTATTCGATATTTATTCGCCAATTATTCGAAAATCAATATATTTGAAATCTACAACAATATAGCAATTACCAAGTTACCAACTTACCCAGTAGGTCAGTATTACATTACTATTCAAATTCGACTCGAATAGTACATAAATCAACATGTGTCATCGTTTCAATTGCTTAAAAACCAAAACAGAATAAAAATACTAAATTTCACACTGAATCAATACCCAAATATCTTGATTTCCCATCCTAAAATCATAGGTCATGAAAGATTTTTAACATTAAATGATTTTGATCAATTTTAACAGAGTGGACTTTAATAATGGATACTTGAACATCAAGTTCCAATGAGAGTTTTTTGCACCAAATCTTTCCCAAATGACATTGTCTCTGGTTATAAGTTCTTTTTTATCATAGGACATAATTTATGGATTTTATGTGGAAGCTGATCTTCATTAGTTGAGTTTATTTTTACAGGGTGACATCTTTAGCAAGTAATTCATAAATGTCTCTTCTATTTTCATTCAGTCCCATCTGTTTCTTTGTCATTGAGATTTCTTCTTTTCATTTCAGGTGCTTCTTCTTTGGTGATACATCTTCAAAAAGTGATCCCATACCTTCAGCTTATACGATTACTTTCTTAAGGAATACTATCAGTTGAAGCATACCTAACCGCCCAATCACGAAATCCACATTCATCTATGTGATATTTCTTATCCGAGGACAAAGTTGTAGCTTTATTTATCAAACAAAGCACACAACTTCTCTCAAGTTCAGAACTTCTAAAGATACTACTAGCACACAATGATTTATGTCACTCGCCCAACTGCCCAGTCACTTAAGCATACTAATGACTCCTATTTTTAAGGCCGAGCAAATCAAATGACCATCAGAGCATCATTGATAACTAACGGTATCGCTAATGACTGCGCCGGATTAGGTAGTAAAGATGAGAGTTCACCTCTGATAATTAAATGAAGCTGGTTGAAACTACAGATCCGCAAGGGATGAGATCAGATTTTGTGCAGAATTATCTGCAAAAGGCATAAAGAAGCAATCTTTAGCAATTAGTATAAATTAAAAATCAAGAATAATGGTAACTTTTAAGCTTCAACTTACATTTTTTTATGATTCGAGGGGGAAGACGGTCGACGGAGGAGTAAACGACGATCTTCGAGGGAGGAGTCGACGACGAGCTTCGAGGGAGAACAGTGAAAACCCAAACCCTAGAATCAACTTGGAGTCGGATCTGAAGGAGGAGAGAGGAGAGAGGAGCCGATCTGGAGTCAGATCGGAAGGAGGAGGATAGAAAAAAAAGGAGATAATTGCGATTTATTAAGTGAAATCCCTAGCCCTACATTCTTAAAACACTGAATAAATTAGTGCCCACGCGATGAGACCAGGGCCCCACTTGTAGACGTCCTCGTCGCACGCACGGTGATTTTTAGAAATTTAGAAGTCGCGTGCCCCACGAGCATGGGGGTTTGGTGGAATAAAAATAAGGGAAAATTGCTTGGGGGAACCAAATTAAATTGGGTCATTCATCACCACCCCAAGCCCAAAAAGCATAACCCAAAAGCCCTTATACTGACAAAGGTGTGCAAGTAACCCCCAAACCCATTACCCAATAAAATCATTCCTAAATTACCCTTCCCTCTTCCTCTGCAGGTTATTTTCACATTTTCTCTTCCTCCAACGCCAGCCCACTCCTCCGCTGGCCTCATCCCCTCTCCTCCACCGCCGGCCCCTCTCCTCCACCGCTGACCGCCGGCCCCACTCCTCCTCTGGCCTCATCCTCTCCCTCTCCCCCTCCTCAATCAAACATCGAGCATGGATGAAGATGAAGAGCTACGCTGTGAGATCTCTACCTACAACATTCTACATCCCCAACTTCATCACCCAATCTGAGCAAGCCCATCACCTCCATCAAGTAATTTCCCTTTTTTTCTTTGGTTTTTATTTTCTTCAAATTTATATGGGTCTGTAAACCCTAATTTTGGATGTAACTGAAATTGAGATGTAGATGTAACTGAAATTGAGGATTTGGGGCTTTTGATTGGATTTGGCGGCAAAGAGGGTGTCGATTTTGTAACTTGAATCATGGAATCAAATCAATGCTTGATTGTGATTCTCTTTTGTGTTTGAGCCCCCTTTGTGTTTGTTGTTGTGGATTTCTTTGGTTTTGCTAGTTTCAATGAATTGATGAATTACTCATGTTAATTTTTTTTTTAAATTTTAGGTGTTAGAAGTTAGTCGGCAAGCCTTGATGGGAGAGTAATTAACAAAAAACCATGGCTTTGTCTTGGGGAGCAAATCAAAGGAGGAGGAGGAGGAGGAGGAGGTTGAGAAGGCAATGAGGCAGATGTAGATGTGTGGGCTTAGATTGGGGATGGGGAGGATGGTGCAGATTCACTCAAGCCCGTCCGATCAGAATATGCACAGTTCTTGGGGCTTTGCTGTTGATGATGATGATGAGAAGGAGAACAAAAAATAATTTCGATCGAATCTTGTAGATTTCTCAGGGGATGATGACGAGGAGGAGAGCAAAAGACGAGTTCTTTTTCTCTTTTTAATTCAACTTCGTATTATTCTATATGCAAGTTCACGTCGTTTGCGAATCTACAAATGGAATCTCTTCCAATGTGGTTATTAGTATAGTTGTTTTTGTGCAAATTTGTCGTTTGGACGGTTAACAAAGTTCATCGGTTTGTAAAATTTGATAAGGAAATGGAAGTCAACTTGTTTAATTTTTCTATAAAATTCTGTTTGTCCTTCATGTGACAAGCCATCTTAGAATTGCTCCAGGTGTCCTTTTATGAGAAAATCTTGGGCTCTTAAACAATACATATCAGGACAAATGCCACGATTAACTACAAATATCACATATTAATATCCAGGTGTCCTTTATGTGATATTTGTAGTTAATATATGATATTTGCTATATTATTCAAGTTTTTGATATTTATATGATTTATTACACTTGTTTATGTAACATATGATAGTTTCATGTGACATATGAAAGATTCATGTCACATATGCTGTTTTTATGTGACATTTGTTGTTTATACGTGACGATTGGGTATTGTATGTGATATTTGGGTGTTGTATGTGATATTTGGATGTTGCTTGTGACATTTGTTGTTTATACGTGACATTTGGGTGTTTTATGTGATATTTGGGTGTTGCTTGTGATATTTGTTGTTTATACGTGATATTTGGGTGTTGTATGTGATATTTGGCTGTAATTTATTGATAGTGAATGTGCTTATTTGTCACATGACTGTAATTTGTTTATACGTGACACATGGCTGTAATTTGTTGTATGTGATATTTAGATCTAATAGAGTCATTCCACATGTGCTTATTTGTCACATGATATGCTCATTTGTCACATGCGGAATGACTCTATTAGATGTGACTTATATCACATACAACCCATATATCATTGAAATATCACATGATATGCTTATTTGTCACATGTGGAATGACTCTATTAGATGTGACTTATATCTGTTGTATGTGATATTTGGGTGTTGCTTGTGACATTTGTTATTTGTACGTGATATTTGGGTGTTGTATGTGATATTTAGCTGTAATTTGTTAATAGTGAATGTGTCACGTATAAACAACAAATGTCACAATCAACACCCAAATATCACATACAACACACAAATAACACACACAACACCAAAATGTCACGTATAAACAATAAGTGTCACAAGAAACACTCAAATATCACATACAACACCCAAATGTCACAAGCAACACCCAAATATCACATACAACACCCAAATATCACAAATCAGATTTAATTATCACATATAAGTTAGAACTATCACATGTAAGATTGAATTGTCACATATAACATTGAAATATCACATGATATGCTTATTTGTCACATTTACGGTTAATTGTGATACATATATGTTCTCTCATTTTCCACCTTGAATAACTAAGAAATAACAACACTCTCAAATTGAACTCTAATTTGGATCAAAATCTTCCTTACAATGATTTCAACTCATCAATAAAATACACCAGGAAGTTACAATCCCAACCCCACCATTCCATTTCATCATCAAATTTGTCACATGACTGTAATTTGTTTATACGTGACACATGGCTGTAATTTGTTGTATGTGATATTTAGATCTAATAGAGTCATTCCACATGTGCTTATTTGTCACATGATATGCTCATTTGTCACATACGGAATGACTCTATTAGATGTGACTTATATCACATACAACCCATATAACATTAAAATATCACATGATATGCTTATTTGTCACATGTGGAATGACTCCATTAGATGTGATTTATATCCGTTGTATGTGATATTTGGGTGTTGCTTGTGACATTTGTTGCTTGTACATGATATTTGGGTGTTGTATGTGATATTTGGCTGTAATTTGTTGATAGTGAATGCGTCCCGTATAAACAACAAATGTCACAAGCAACACCCAAATATCACATACAACACCCAAATATCACACACAACACCAAAATGTCACGTGTAAACAATAAGTGTCACAAGAAACACTCAAATATCACATACAACACCCAACTGTCACAAGCAACACCCAAATATCACAAATCAGATTTAATTATCACATATAAGGTAGAAATGTCACATGTAAGATTGAATTGTTACATATAACATTGAAATATCACATGATATGCTTATTTGTCACATTTACGGTTAATTGTGATACATATATGTTCTCTCATTTTCCCATTTAACCTTGAATAACTAAGAAACATAACAACACTCCCAAATTGAACTCTAATTGGATCAAAATCATCCTTACAAAGGATTTCAACTCATCAAATAAAAATACATCAGGAAGTTACAATCCCAACCCACCATTCCATTTCCTTATCAAATTTTACAAACCGATGAACTTTGTTAACCGTCCAAATGACAAATTTGCACAAAACCAACTATACTAATAACCACATTGGAAGAGATTCCATTTGTAGATTCGCAAACGACATGAATTTGCACATAGAATGATACGAAGTTGAATTAAAAAGGGAAAAAGAACTCGTCTTTTGCTCTCCTCCACGTCATCATCCCCTGAGAAATCTAAAAGATTCGATCGAAATTATTTTTTGTTCTCCTTCTCATCATCATCATCAACAGCAAAGCCCCAAGAACTGTGCATATTCTGATCGGACGGGATCGAGTGAATCTACACCATCCTCCCCATCCCCAATCTAAGCCCACACATCTACATCTGCCTCATTGCCTTCTCAACCTCCTCCTCCTCCTCCTCCTTCGATTTGCTCCCCAAGACAAAGCCATGGTTTTTTGTTAATTCCTCTCCCATCAAGGCTTGCCAACTAACTTCTAACACCTAAAATTTAAAAAAAAATTAACATGAGTAATTCATCAATTCATTGTAACGAGCAAAACCAAAGAAATCCACAACAATAAACACAAAGGGGGCTCAAACACAAAAGAGAATCAACAATCAAGCTTTGATTTGATTCCATGATTCAAGTTACAAAATCGACACCCTCTTTGCCGTCAAATCCAATCAAAAGCTCCAAATCCTCAATTTCAGTTACATCTACATCTCAATTTCAGTTACATCCAAAATTAGGGTTTACATACCCATATAAATTTGAAGAAAATAAAAACCAAAGCAAAAAAAAGGAAATTACTTGATGGAGGAGATGGGCTTGCTCAGATTGGGTGATGAAGTTGGGGATGTAGAATGTTGTAGGTAGAGATCCCACAGTGTAGCTCTTCATCTTCATCCATGTTCGACGTTTGATTGAGGAGGGGGAGAGGGAGGGGATGGGGACGGAGGAGGAGGGGGGCCGGCGGTCGGCGGTGGAGGAGTGGGGCCGACGGTCGACGGTGGAGGAGAGGGGATGAGGCCGGACGGAGGAGTGGGCTGGCGTTGGAGGAAGAGAAAATGTGAAAATAACCTGCAGAGGAAGAGGGAAGGGTAATTTAGGAATGATTTTATTGGGTTTGGGGGTTACTTGCACACCTTTATCAGTATAAGGGCTTTTAGGTTATGCTTTTTGGGCTTGGGGTGGGGATGAATGACCCAATTTAATTTGGTTCCCCCAAACAATTTTCCCTAAAAATAATTGTGATTTATTTACTCCCTCACGTGACCATGAGCATCTCACGTGGGGTGCTTTCCACTTTGTACTTTGGATTAACTAATTCATAGTCGCGATGCACGGATAAGCTCAATATAGAGCTTGTAAAAAAATTCAAAATAATATTTTATGCTACCAAAAAATTTAATAAATCATCATTTAGTTGCAAATCTGATACTTAATTACAAACAAAATACGAATAGACTCATATCATAGTTGCGAG